ATACACATGCACATACCCACAGTATACACATGCACATACCCACACTATACACATGCACATACCCACAGTATACACATGCACATACCCACACTATACACATGCACATACCCACACTATACACATGCACACACCCACACTATACACATGCACATACCCACACTATACACATGCACATACCTACACTATACACATGCATATATATATAAGAAATGAACCTTAAAACTCAGCTATAACAGATCCTGGGTGAGAGGAGGTCAGCGTTGTGTCCTCAAATTACATAAAATTCCTGATTCCATTCGGTTCCATTGCCTCTGAGGAAAGAGGCTTTCTCGACATCTAAATCAGCTGCTTTACCAAAATTGCTTTTTTGTTTGGTATGTGTGTTTAAAGATTTATTGATTTTATGTATATAAGTACATTGTAGCTGTCTTCAGACCTTCCAGAAGAGGGCATCAGATCCCATTACGGTTGTGAGCCACCATGTGATTGCTGGGAGTTGAACTCAGGTCCTTTGGAAGAGCAGTCAGTGCTCTTAACCACTGAGCCATTTAACCAGCCCCATGTATTTTGTTTTTTAATTTCCCTGGGAGGGCCAGCAAGATGGCTCAAGGTGTAAAGGCCCTTGCCACCAAGCTTACCCACCTGAGTTTGATCACTGCAGCTCATGTGGTTGAAGGAGAGAACAGATACCCTGCAGGTTGTGCTCGGACCCCCACACATGCACTGTAGTAAATGTGCACCCATATACACACATGTAATTAGTTCTTTTAATGAAAACAAGAACAACAGCTGCCAAGCAGTAGTGCATGCCTTTAATCCCAGCATTCAGGAGGCAGAGACAGGCAGATCTCTATGAGTTCCAGGCCAGCCTGGCCTGCAGAGTGAGTTCCAGGACAGATAGGATTACGTAATATAAGTATCTGTGTTTTCTGATGATCTTAGGTGACCCCTGTGAAAGGGTTGTTGGATTCCCAGAGGGGTCATGACCCATAGGATGAGAACTGCTGATGTAAGAGGACTGGAAAGATGGGTCAGTGGTTACAACCCCTGGCTACTCTTGCATTGTTCAATGCCAGGCATTCATGTTAGGCGCTCACAAATGCCTGTAACTCCAGCCCTGGGCATCCAGTGCCCTCCTTCAGCCTCTGCAAACAGACATAATCACGTAAACAAGAAAATAAACGTTAAAAAAAAAATTTCCATGTGAACTTGTCAGTAGCTGCCCTGTGCCATACTGCTTACCAGCTGAAAGGGAAGAACATAGCTGTTTTCTTTCATTTGGTGCCCTTCATAAATGTCTCCCCAAAAGGATCCATGCTGTAAAATAAATTTAAAAAAAAATTCAAATCTATTCCTCAAGGTAGTTAATTGTTGACATTCACTTAGTGATGCGTGCTGTGTCTGTAAGTACACACTGATATCTTCAGGTTTTACAGTGGGAAGCAGTTTGCACATGAATGGAACAATATTACAGCACCGTTGCAGAGTTGTGCTACTGTAAACATTATCTGCAGATCTGCAGTGTGGATGTGAGGGGTGGGGGGTACGCATGCGCAGCTGCACTTACCATGAGGTGCGTGTGGCGGAGGGGTGGGGGTACGCATGCGCAGCTGCACTTACCATGAGGTGCGTGTGGAGACCAGAAGTTGGCACTGAGTCTTCCTTCATCTCGTCTCCCATATTTCGTAGGCAGAGTCTCTGAACCTCAGGTTTGCTGTTTCAGCCACCCTGACTCAAAACCCTGGCATCTACCCGCCTCTGCCCCCTGCAAACCCAGGGTACAGGTGCATGCCGCCATGTTCTCTTACAGGAGTGCTAGGGAACCGAGTTCAGGCAAGGGTCCCCGTGTCTGTGCAGTAAGCACCTCTACCACTAATCCGTCTCCCAGCCTTATTTGCTTTTTCAGATGAGGCCTCATGTGTCTGATGCTGATCAGGAACCCACTATGGAGCTGAGGCTGCCCATGATCTCTTGTTCTCCCTGATTACACCACGCAGCTACTAGGATTATAGGCATGTGCCAGCAAGACCTCCAGCTGAACTTCTGTCCAGTTCCTCCTTGAAAAAATGTTCTTGAGCCAGGCAGTAGTGGTGTACACCTTTAATCCCAGCCCTCAGGAGGGAGGCAGAGGTAGGCTGACCTCTGAATTTGAGGCCAGCCTGGTCTACAGAGCAAGTTTCAGGACAGCCAGGGCTACAATGAGAAACCCTGACTCAAACAAAACAAAAAAAGTTCTTGTCTCAGAATTGCTGCATCATAAGTGCCATCAACAGCTCTGCTGGTTGTCTTTTCCCCAGCAGTGAGCATCGAGTGCTGCCTCTGGGGCTTCCTCACTGGACACTTGTCCCTTGTTCTTCCTAAGCAATGTTGCCTCTCAACTGCAGGTGTGTCTGACACCACAGAGGAGCATCTGCCTCTGTCCTACATGTGCCTTGGCAAATGCCATGGCCTGGGAGTGCCCTGCCCTGCCACTGTCACCTGCAAAGCCAGGCTTCATATGGCAAGCACAGGATGCCAAGCCCACGGCTGCCCAAGGAGGATGTCAGCCTGGCCTCCTAGTCTGCACTGAGCACCTGCCACTGGTGAGTGGTCCGGGCCCTGCCTGTTTTTGGAGACCAGATGGGGAACCTAGAAAGGAGTCTGAGGTACTGGGTTTGTAGAGTCAAGAGAAGGACACAGAGTCAGCACCTCCCTGGCTGAGTCAGCCATCAAGAGGTGAGCGGGAACACTGGAGCCTTCACTGGTAAACTATAGCTGTGGGCTGTGTTGCCTGGTGTGCTATCCGAACTGTGTGTTCACTGCAGTGGCAGACAGGACTAAGTGAGTGCCCGCGAGACAGCCTGCATGCTTTCCTGTCTGAAATATTTGCTCCCTGGCCCTTTATAGAAAAAGTTTGTCCACTCCTGTCCCAGATTTGTAGTGAGTGGGCACAAGGCCTGGAGTGTGTTCCGGGAGCTGTGACACTGGCACTAGACATGCCTGTCATGTCTTTTCCCCTTGAACTCCCCAGCAGACTTCCAGCCCAAGGATGAGGCACAGGGAACTCCCTGAACCTGCTGGTGGCATCTCTAAGGTATCAGCAGATGGAAGTGAACCAAGAGCCATCAAATTGTCTTCATTTGCCATGGCCCAGCTGCCTTACCCCAGCTTAAAGCTGAGTCTGAATTCTCTGTGGGAAACCTTCAGTTCAGCTCTTCCCTGCCAGGATGTCTCTCTCTCCTCACTACCCACCCTCAATCTTTTCTTATCAAAGAACAAACAAATATTTTTGTACCCTAGAAAATCAAGACTCACCCAGTACAGGGCTGAGAAATTGTCATCCCATTGGCTTGGCTGACTTCTGTCTAACTCCAGTTCTAGGAAGAATGTGGGGCTCGAGTGCTTGGCAGTGGGTGGCAAGACACAGTCAGGTCAGCATTACCCTCATGGCTGCTTGAGTTGCATTCTTCCTGGTCCCTGGCCCCTTATCCTGGTCTAAGCACTGGGCTCAGCTTACACTATGGACCCTGCAGAGCCCGGGGCCTCTGGGGAGGCTGTATGCTGCTGAGCAAACAAACACTTATGACCAACATGTCATCTTCATCCCAGGTCCCTAGGCCAAGCAGAAGGCAATTGTTGACAGCCTGAAGGGCTGGCTGGCCGAGACACTCAGAGACCTGCAGCCCTGCATCCAGCTTACCTAGCAAGATGTGGACCGCCTTGGTGCTGGTATGGATTTCCTCCATGCCGTTATTGAGAAGCCATATAGTGTCTGTTCAGCCACGTAAGTGAGAAAGCTGTCTGATCACCAGGGAAGCCCCAGGGAGATTCTAGAAGGGAGGCATCTACAAACCCCTGCCTTCCCAGCTGCAGAACTGGGGACTGTAGTCAGTGCTGGGGTTAGAGAGTGCACAGGTGAGAGCTACAGTGTGACCAGGCAGTAGAGACCTGCAGAGTGTCCTTGTCATCTAGGAATCTTGTGTTCGTCAGAGCTCATTTGTTGGCATGTCAGTATTGAATGTGCTCCTGCCCTACCAGGCTCTGTTCATCTCCAAGAATCCTTCAGCCAAACCTGTCCCTTAGCCAAGGCTGTTTAGAGTGTGAATGTCTGTGCAGCCCCTCCTCTCTCTATATAAACCTTGGGGGCAGGTAGAGGGGCTGAGGTTTGCTTTGTTTTCATTGGCTAATCATATAATGTGAGCCTTTTGATCCAATGCTCTTGAGAATTTAATCCAGTTCAATGAATTGAATCAGCTCACAGGCTGGAGCCTCAGAATGGGCAAAGGAATCCTTAGTTCAGAGTGTCCTGGGCTGTGGGCAGCTGTGGGCAGCTGTGGAGGGGAGAAGAGGAGGCAGGCTCTGGGCTCATGTGTCACCTCCATCAGCACACAGGCCTCTGGTTGGAGAATATGGTGCCATACACCCAGCACAGGGTCCAGCAGCTAAGGTGACAGCAGGTGACCCCCACATGTGGTTGAAAGTGTTCTATCTCTTCTCTTCTGACTTTAAGGACACTTAGTCAATACCAAGTGGCCTAGAGCAGTAAATCAAAGCATGCCGGGGGACACAGTTCCAAGGGCTGATAATACATCTACCGAGAGAATAGCCACAGTGCCACCTGTTCCTGACACATTGACAACAAGGACCTGGGCAGCCACCCTGAACTCTACCAGAGTGACAACAGAGATGACAATCCATGGGACAAACATGAGCACTCCCACAACCAGAGAGGGGACAACAGACAGTGTGACCTCCAGCACTCTGGCTGCACCTACATCTTCGGGCCCCTCATCTGTGGGGCAGACTCTACCCACCACCATCACTGGACTTCCCTCTCTCAGCACATCACATGCAGAAGTGCCAAGAACAAATGCCAGCGCGTCACCAGGAACAGCCATAGCAACAACTATGGCCCCATACACTAGAACTGTTGCTGCAGGCTCCAGAAACACAAGTGATCCTCACACAAGGACTCTGAGTCCTGCCCAAAGCACACACACTAACACAGCCAGCAGGAGCCCAGTGCCCACCTCAGGTGCCCAAACGCAAGGCACCACCATCCTGGTGACCACAGACCAGCCAGTGCGTAGCACAGCAGGTAGATCAACTCCTAGTCCCTCAAATACCACCCTGGAGCCCACCACCACCCAGTCTGTGGCTTCTGTGTCCTCTGCCGTAGTGACCACCACCCAGGTAAAAACCAAGGAGCCATCAACCAGCACAGTGCCAGTGCTTCCTCCCAGCCCTGAAGTAGACACCACATCCTCCAGCACACAGCCAAGCCCTACATTACCTACCAAGGGGACAGGTGGGCCAGGCATACTCCTGACAACGGAGCAAGTGGGGACCAAAACCACAGCTGGTACTGCCTCTGCTGGGCCAACATCCAAGAGTTCAGGGGATGATAAGGTGCCAACCACAGACTTGTGCCAGCTCAACACCCAAGGCCAGTACCTAGTGGTCACTGGTTATCTGACTCCATCCTTGGTGAACAAAATGTTACTCCTGGTGGTGCTTGTTGTTGGGGTGACCCTCTTCATCGCAGTCCTGGTGATGTTTGCCTTGCAAGCCTATGAGAGCTACAAGAAGAAGGACTACACACAGGTGGACTACCTGATCAACGGCATGTACGCCGACTCGGAGATGTGAGGGCTTCTCAGGAGGCCAGCCTCTTCCATGGCCTTCTACTTTGCCTCAGACCAAACTAAGTGCTTCCAGATCCTTTCGGTGCAATTTCAGAGCTGTGCCAGATGCTTAGACACATTTAATAGCTGTCAGATCAGCTCCATGATCATGAGAGAGCCGTCTTTTCATATTTATTTTTCTAAACGATCACAAACGCAGGCGTGGCCAGGGTTGAGAGGGCCTGGCACACTTGGTCCTTGGTGTGGGAAAGTTTGACCAGAATTAAAAGCAATGACCTCTCTCTGTCTGGCTTGTGTGGGTCTGTGTGTTCTGCCCTTAGTCTTTCCAAGTGCAGCCTTTAAGATGTCTGGTGGGGCTTGCTTTTGTAAATATGTGGTGTGACATGAATTCCTGGTGGGTCGCTGTTTTCCAACCACTGGCTTAGGCTCCTTCTGGTGCCCCCGTTCTCAGTGGAGGCTCCAGCCAAGTCCTGAGCTGTTCCTTGGTGCTGACTATTGGCAGCCTGGCCTCCTTGCTGAGCTTCCTAGGAGTACACTCTAGCTTTGAAAGAGCCAAATCCAACACAATCCATGAAACAGCTTGGTCTTCACATGTCAGAGGCAATATTGCCATGTATATGCCATAGTCCAGCCACCATCATCCTGTGAATACTTGTCGCACACTGAGCCCTCATCCCAGCAGATCATTTTAGTGACCTCTGAGGCTCAGTAGCATCTCATTCATCCAGGGCCAGAGTCAGGAGAAGGCTGGCCTGGGTTCTGATTTGGATGTTGTTTCTTGGCAGTGTTGGGGATGGAACCTAGGCCCTTTTGTATTCTAGGTAAACACATGGGCCGTTATCCCAGCCCTGAGCCCTGGTTCTAGAGTCCCAGGGTCTCGGCTATCCTGTTTACCAGACTGATGGCTTTTCTCTACCCAAGTGCCTAATATAGCAAGAGCACATTAGCAGTGAGCTATGGCAGCCAAACAGTTCTCAGCTGTGCTCTAGGCCAGGTCCACAGCTGCGATCTGGTCTAGAGCCAGCTAAGGAATGCTCTAGAGCTTGGCTTCATCTAGGAGACTATGTTTGTTCATCCTGACAGCACAGTGGCTGGCCTGACCTATAGAGAAGACGTGGCTGTGATAATGTCTAAGGCTGGTGTTATTTGGAGTCACTGTGTCCCCTTGCCATGATGGTCCAAATTCTCACCTCAATTCTGCCTCATCTAAAAGGGATGACAGGTGGACTGTAATAAAAAAACAAGGTAACCAACCCCCTAGGCCATTTGAGAACCGTACAGGGTGAGGTGAAGGGATCAGAACTGTCCACACAGCTCTGTGGCTTCCACCCCACTTACCTGTCATGGTAGCCAGGCCTGCCCTGCTGCCCCACCTGCTTCTCAGAGTCAAGCGGGTCTGTCCTGGTAGCTGGCCCTTCTCCCTATCTAGCAGACACACCTAACTTGAGAGTGCATGTTTAATCTTTGCTGTTGGCTCTAGCTATGGCTGAGAAGGTGGCAGCTTCCAGCCTCTGGTGAGCTCTAGGCCAGTTCACCACATTGCCTGCCTGAGAAGCTACTTACTAGTAGGAACAGAACTCTGGGGTAAATCTGAGACTTTGAGCATGCCCTCTGCTCAGCCTCCGTAGGATTAGGGTCAGGCTCCCCCTCGTGGTGGCTAATGGGATCCTAAACCCTGGTTCCATGTGGGCCGCATTTCAAAGCGCGTTTTCAAAGACTGGGAGCCCTGATTCTTTCTGGATGTGGGGAGAAGTGGGCCAAAGTGAGAGTTAGTTCACGGAAAGGAAGCAAAACACAGAAAGGCCAAGTTGCCTTTTCAAGGTCACCCACCAGGCAAGTGGCAGGCCGGGATTTACGGAGAGCCTGTCTGTGCGCATTGTGCACTGAGGTGGCCGGGGAGAGGAGGTTTCATCTTCAAGACCATACGAACATGCACGCACGAGGATGTAGTGGACACCTGGGGCCGATCGCTCCTGGGGCAGCCCTGGTCGTGGTGGCTGGTGCCCTCTGGTGCCCCCTGGCGGCCGAGCCCTTCGCCGCATCCGGCCCATAGATCCGGCCGCATCTGTGGCCACCTTGTGCGGCCATTTAGACCCACAAAGTCTGACCTGACCCTGACCGCGAGAGGCGCCCCTTGATGTCCCCACAGGCGCGCTCACTGTTGGGGGTGCTTTTAGGGTTGGAGGTCTGGTCCCAACTTGGTCAGCAAGTGCTTGAAGGAATGACGTCACGTGTGCCTGAAACACCTCCCAGTTCTCAGGTACCCTAGAGTTAGTTCATGGATCCCGCAACAACTCAACCGGTGCTCTGTTCTTCTGTCTCGGAACCAGTCAGTTGGGGGGGCTCATTTGGAGTAAGGCAAGCGAAGCATTTTATATCTCCACTCTGCTAACAGCTCATGTCTGTGAGCGTTTACTTGGGTTCCGATAAACCTCCCCAGGTTCCATCTATCCCTTATCCCAGAGGTCTGTCTTCCTGCCGCCCCCCTCCCCCTCATTCCACCCCTGGCTCATCCTCCACTTAACACCCTGGGGGGTATTTTTAAAACAGAACTCAGATCTTAATGCTCAGTTCCCTAGGCTGACCTCCCTCTGAGATTGGAGGATGGGGGTGGGGGGACAGTATGCAAACGCTTGAATTAGAAATGCATGTGGCCAGCCTTTAATCCCAGCACTTGGGAGGCAGAGGCAGGCGGATTTCTGAGTTCGAGCGAGGCCAGCCTGGTCTACAGAGTGAGTTCCAGGACAGCCCGGGCTATAAAGAGAAACCCTGTCTCGAAAAACCCCCCCCAAAAAAAAAGAAAAAAAAAGAAAAAAGAAAAAAAGAAAAAGAAAAAAGAAAGAAAGAAAAGAAATGCACGTGGCCAGAGACATGTTCAAGAGAAGCGAGGGAACTGGAATCCAGGCAGTGACCAGCCATGTTGAACCTTCAAGATCAACCCAAGGCTGGGAAGTGTGGGAAGAGGCAGTCAGAACCGGGACGAGTGACCAGGGCAAGATGAGAAGCCCATCTTCCAGTATTTAAGCAAAGAAGTAAGATCATCAGGTTTGGAGTTTAAACAGATAGTAATTGCACTTCTGTGTTTACTGACACTTAAGTTACTTTAAACCACTTAAACCAGGCAAGATGGCTCAGTGTGTAAGGGTGTGTCCTCAAGCCTGAACGACTGTGATTCCTACAATCTATAGTGACTTCTGACCTCCATATAAGAACTGTGCACATGCACACACATTCATACAAAATAAATTAATACATGAAACATAATTAAGAAAAAACGGTTAAAGAGAAAAGTAAGGGGGAGACACAACCAGAGACCTTCAAAGACCAAAGACAGGCGTGGTTTCCTGGAGAAGGGCTGGTCTCCAGTTCCTTATGTGTCTGTGGAAATTTCCATGATGAAATGTTAGAAGAAAAATGGAAGGGAGGGGAAGGAAGGGTGGAGTCCTGACTTCAAGCTCATAAGTAGAAGATCCTCTGGTTGCCACTGAGGGTTGCTATGGGAAGCTGGATCATCCCAGGAGCCATCGCTTGGACCAAGATCATGTTCAGTCCTCAGAGAGAACCCAGGGAAGTTGGAGACTTGATTTGGAGGCTGACCAATTAGACTTTTCACTGTTTGTATTTCAGGGTTTTTTGTTTTGTTTTGTTTTGTTTGTTTGTTTTTTTGTTTGTTTGTTTTTTGAGACAGGGTTTCTCTGTGTAGCCCTGGCTGTCCTGGAACTCACTCTGTAGACCAGGCTGGCTTCGAACTCAAAAATCCACCTGTCTCTGCCTCCCAAGTGCTGGGATTAAAGGCGTGCACCACCACTGCCCAGCTTGTCTTTTTTTGTTTTGTTTTGTTTTGTTTGGACACTGTTTGTATTTTGTTTCTCCCTCTGTTCCTCACTCTCTTCAACTGGCACACTCCTGGCACATGCCAGGCAAATGCTGTTACTCTTGTTTTGTTGGGTTTTAAGTTGTTTTTAGATTTAATTTTGTGAATGTTGTGCCTGCATATATGTATATGTAGTTTGTGCATGCCTGATGCCAGTGAAGGCCAGAAGAGGGTGCTGGATCCCCTGGAGCTGGGGCTGCAGTTTCCTGCTGCTGTTTCCTCTGTAAGAGTAGAATGTACTCTTAACCACTGAGCCATATCCAATTTATTTAGGGCTTGTTTTATGAAACCTGTGTAGCCCAGCTGCCCTGAACTTTTCCTTTTGTTCTTGCTTGCTTGCTTGCTTCCTTTCTTGTTTGTTTGCTTGTTTGTTTTTCAGACAGGGTTTCCTTATGTAGCATACTGACTGACCTGGGACTTGCTATGAAAATCAAGCTGGCCTTGAACTCATAAAGACCTGCCTGCCTCTGCCTCCAGACTTCTGGAATTTCAGACATGTGTCACCATGCCTGCCTAGTGCGGTGGAACCTTTGCTCCTTTTTCAGCCTTTGGGGTGCCAGGATTGATTATAAGATTGTGTTAGAATGTCCAGCTTCTATTTCCTCCCAGGTAGAGACAAAGGGCACAAAGTGTAGGTGGCACTAGAGCCAAGCCTTAGGCCGAGCTCATATGTCCTCTCGGGGGAGGGACACAGGGCATGAAGCATAGGTTTGCTGGTGCCAGCCTCTGAGCTGAGCTGAGCTCTAACACACAAAATCGTCCAGCTGAATCTGGATGGCTACAATGATGGGCATCAAGGGATTTTGGAGAAAATGGATTCTTCCAGGGCCCGCCTGTGAGCTGAATCAGCACCGGCGTTGTGAAGGCAGAGGCAGTAAATGAACAACACAGTGTGGGGAAGAGAATCCCGTGCATTCCTGCTTGTAATGCAAAGCACTGTCAAAACTGAATAGCTCCATTCAGTGGCTTGATAATAGTACCAAACACTGCGGGGTAGAGAGATGGCTCCAAGTTAAGAGCACTGGCTGTTCTCTCAGAGGATCTGGATTCAGTACCCAGAACCCACATGGTGGCTCACACCCATCTATAACTACAGCTCCTGGATGTGATGCCCTCTCCTGGCCTCCACAGGCACTGCACACATATGGTGCACTGATGTAAAACATTCATACCTGCTGGTTGTAGTAGTGCATAGCTGTAATACTAGCAAGTAGATCTTTGTGAGTTCAGACCAGCCTGGTCCTGGTCTACATAGCAAGTTCCAGGCTAACTAGAACTACAAAGAAAGACTCTCTCTCTCTCTCTCTCTCTCTCTCTCTCTCTCTCTCTCTCTCTCTCACACACACACACACACACACACACACACACTCCAAAACAACAAAAATGTAAAAGACTCACACACTTAAAAAAGTT